GCCCTTTCCACCCCTCTCCCTCCTGCCAGGACGCCATCGGGGGTGATGGCCCTGCAGGAAGTGAGCCAGCGATGCCCTCTATCGTTTGGCTCATCCCCACGGCTGCCGCTTACTGAGCAGTAGACACCCAGGTCAACAGATCCTGAGCTTTGGATCCAAGCCATGTGTGTCAGTCCCGGGCTCGGCCACTCACAGTGGAGTGACCCAGGCCTTTCCGCCTCCCCGACCCCACCCCCAGCTGGCCCTCTGCCAGGTGGCACTCACACGGCCCATCATGAAGTGGGCGGGAAGCACTGAAAAGGGGGTGCCTCCTGCAGAGCCCGCGCTGTGGAAGGTTGGCTAAGTGCACCTGACTGAGGCTGCCTGGCCGTTTCTCGTGGAGGAGCAGGTGTTTGCCATGGCCGCAACCTCCGGATGCACACCAAACCCTTAGATGTCACTTGGGACAAGCCCCTCCCACAGCCTGAAACTGAGGCCATGCCCCAGAGGGGCAGGAAAGTGCTGGTTCCAGTCCCCGTTTGCGGCATCTGGGCCTGAATTCACACCCTGCCCGTGCCCATGTCCATCAGCCTCTCTCCGCTTTCCTTCCCTCCTTCCAGCCTGGAGAAGAGCTGATACCCACTCAGAGGGGTGGCCGTGGAGAGCTGATCGAGGTGCAGCTGTGACTGGGGTCCAGCAAGGAATAGGGGGCACTCGAGGACTCGCTGGGTGGAGACTGAGGGGGCCCTGAGGAGGCATTGCTGCTCCGGGGACAGTGAGGGATGGGAAGCTGCCCAACACCAGCGTGATAGGTCACAGCACAGCCGCTGCAGAACCTCAGCCCAGCCTCCTCTCCCTCACACAGACCTCCTCCTGTGCCTCCCGGTGCCAAACCCAACTGGAGCCGGGGGGCCAGGGAGCCTGGGCATCACATGTGGCACCTCTCAGAGGACATGTGGCACCTCCCGGGACAGAGCCGTTCAGACAGATCTGGGGACAAAGGGAGACTATCTGGCTGTGTAGGCTCTGTAATGGCCCCCAGGTGCCCCATCCTGATCTCCGGAGCCTGGGAATAGGTTACTTCATGGCAACAGAGTCTTTGCACATGTGATTACGTGAAGGGCCTGAGATGGGGTGTGATCCGGATTAGTCAGGGGCCCGTGTCAGGCTGTTTACGACAGAGAGAAGGGGGGTCGCAGGCTCTCAGAGGGGATGTGAAGACGGGAGACTCTGGAAGATGCGGTGCTGCTGGCTTTGAAGGTGGAGAAGGGGCCACCAGCGGAGGCATGCTGGTGGCCTCGCGACTGGAAAAGGTAAGGAAGCTGGTTGTCCCGGGAGCCGCCAGGAAGGACACAGCCCTGCTGACCCCAGTGAGCTGTAAGCGGATGAGTCTGCGCTGTGTTCAGCCGTTAAGCTTGCGGTGATTTGCTAAGACCTGCACAGTTCCCCACGGGATCCCTCTGGCCACCCAGCCCCCTCTCTGACATGGAGGTCCGTCAGCCCCAGCCGGACAGAGGCCAGGATGGCTCATGCCTGGGAGCAAATACTTTCGTTAAATACCTTCGTTAACTGGTGACAATACTCAAACAAAGGCTATGGACATGCTCTGAGATGCTCCCTAATATTCTTCTCCTGTGAGTGTGTGTGTGTGTGTGTGTGTGTGTGTGTGTGTGTGAGATACGTATGCCCATGTACGGACTGTCTGGGAAGGGAGGCAGCACAGTGTAGGACAGAGTGCCCCGCCCAGAAGCCTGGAAACCTGGATGCTCACCCTGGGTCTACCCCAGCTTTCAGGTAGGATCTAGGGAGTTGCTAACCTTCTCTGAGCCTCAGTTCTCCCACCTGTACGAGGGATGGGACACAGGCCCCAGTCTCCTGGCGTTCTGATTCCATGGTTCTAACCGCCTCCTCTCCTGTCCCCAGCCAGGCCGACCGTGGGGAAGTGGGGGTGGTCAGGGCTCATGGAAAGTCACCAAGGTCCAGAGCCCAAAGCCCTTTCTGGAAAGTCCCACAGACCCTCAGCTCCCAGCCCAGGAACCACAGCCTGCCTAGTCTCTGCTGCCCCCTGCTGGGCCCTCAAGAAACAAAGGCTCCCAGCCAGGTCCCTTGGAAGTGGTTGAAAGGGACCTCAGGGGATGCCCCTGCAACCTCCTGCAGCCACCTGCGCAGACCTGGCCAGCCAGGCCCTCCTGGAGGCTGCTGCCGGAGCCCACAGGAAGCCAGTGCAGCGGCCTGGTGGGAGGCTGCCTGCCGTGGGCCCTGGCCAGCTCCCCCGACTCCTGCATCTGCCTTCCTGCACTAGGAGAATGGGGTGAAGTGGGGTGAAGTGGGGAATGAAATATTGCTGGGGTCTTCCCGCATCTACTAGGGCCATGGTCGGCAAACTGTGACTCTCGAGCCACACGTGGCTCTTTGGCCCCTTGAGTGTGGCTCTTCCACAAAATACCATGTGCAGACGCGCACGTACAGTGCGATTGAAACTTCGTGGCCCATGCGCAGAAGTCAGTATTTTGTGGAAGAGCCACACTCAAGGGGCCAAAGAGCCGCATGTGGCTCGAGAGCCGCAGTTTTCCAACCACTATACTAGGGTAAATGGAAAAGGGGCTGTGCATAAATGAAGAAACTAGAGAAGAAATATGAATTTGGAAGGTATTTTGGGGAAAGCCAGCCAGAAACTTAGTTCTAGTGACTAAGTTCCCCGAATCCTGGATCTGGACCCAGGGCTTTTTATTCACACATTTTGCCCTCTAGCAAAGCAGAGCTACATATCAAAGGTAAGGTTTGGTAAACAGTAAAGGATTATGTGGTTGGGGGAATTGCTTTCAGCCATTCAGCTGTTTGGCCAGCAGCAGGTAATAATATGCAGATTTTCAGCTCTGCTGAAAGAGTCCATCCAACCTTTTTTTTTTCTTTAATATATTTTATTGGTTTTTTACAGAGAGGAAGGGAGAGGGATAGAGAGCCAGAAACATTGATCAGAGAGATCGATCAGCTGCCTCCTGCACGCCCCGCAGTGGGGATGTGTCCACAACCAAGGAACATGCCCTTGACCAGAACCGAACCTGGGACCCTTCAGTCCGCAGGCTGACGCTCTATCCACTGAGCCAAACCGGTTAGGGCCCATCCAACCTTTTGAGAACTTCTCGCATTTATTATGACCCGCTGGACTCAGCCTCCAGCAAAATGTCATGGCTTCTGAAAAGTGGTGCTCTTGCCCTGTTCTCTGCCTTTGGGTAATGGTAGCAATATGAGGTGTCCGTGTTCTCTCTCTCTCTCTCTCTCTCTCTCTCTGACACACACATGCAGGAATTTACACAAGAGAAGCTCACTAATAAGTAAGAAGCATGCTGAACAAGGCAGAAATGACCAGCGAGAAGTCTGCTGACCAGGCTGCGTGAGGGCTGCCCCCAGAAGCGCAGAGCCACTGTGGTTAGAGGCTGCCTACACCGGAGGTGTGTCAGAGGCCGGGTTTCTCCGTGTCCACCATACAGACAGACGGGTGATAGAAATGCTGGGACGGGTGAGGCTGGGGGAAGCTACCAGGAAAGTCATGAACCAACATGTGGCCTGATGTCAACCCACTGGGTGGCATGCAAGAAGGAATTCCTAGGACTTTTCCCACATAAATGTCCCTGAGGACCGCACAGGTGACACTACACCTGAGGGGCTTTGAAACATGCCCCTCGTTCGCTTGGGCTCACAAATGCCCCAGGGGACCGGGAGCCGAGGCTTGACCACAGGGTGCGTTGGGCAGGACCAAGCAGGGCCCGGGGACACCTTCAGGCATCAGGCCTGCTGGGGGACCACCCATGATATGAGATCCCTGCTGTCCCCAGAAAAGGGGTGGCCAGCGGGACTACTGCATGTAGAAAATGGGCAGGACAATGGAGGCCCGGGAAGTCTGCAGGCTGTAGTTCCAGGTGCTCAGATGATGCCCCTTCCCAGCCTCTTTATCTCCTTCCCAGCCCTGGGGGAGCCTCTGGTGGCTCAGACACCACTGAGGCCTCTCTCCCAGGGCAGTAGGAGCAGGGGACAGTCTTCTGCCGCTCCCTGCTGGCCACTCAGAGCAAAGGCCCCAGGACACTCCTCTTCTAGAGCCGGCGGGGGTTCTCTCTCAATACACCGGACACCCCATTAGACACCGAGCCTGAATCAACCCAAGATTAACCCTCTCTCCTCCCTGGTGGGAGGGCTTAACCCTCAAATGCCCTCGTCCTGCAAAAGCCAGGAGAAGAGAAAAATCAAAACACTCCCCGGTTCCAATATCTGCCGCTACATGTGATGCCGGAATACCTTCCACCCGGGCCAGGGGTCACGGACTCGGACCCCCAGGGAAACAAATGCAGTCACGGTGCCAGCGGGCCCTGCAGGAAATGGCCTCACTTGCCCTTCCATGGAGATGCCGTTTATCGATTTTCAAAGCTGAGGGTCAATCTTTGGACGCAGCATGGAACGTTGAGGTCTGGTCACAGGCCAAGCACATGTGCTGACAGCCCGAAGGATGGAAACACAAAGGCCCATCCGACTGCTCAGTGGGGGGGATGTGGGAGGTGGGCAAAGGGGCCCAGGGGCTGCTCCCTCCACCTGTACAGAGGTGGGCGAAAGTAGGTTTACAGTTGTGAGTACGAGGAACATAGTTTATTCTTGTCTTGTTATTGATTGATTATTGTATTATGTGTTTGTATTGTTGCCGTAGGAAGGACTGTAAACACACTTTTGCCCACCCTTGCACGGAAGAGAGTCAATGGGCTTCGATAGAGAGTTCTGGAGGGAGCGGATGAAATTACAAAAGTAACCAAGCAAAGAACCAAAAATATCACTATCCAAAGCAGGGAGAAGGGGAAGGAAGGGCTGAGAAAGCGTCAAAGCATTGAATTCCCATTTTCCAGTGACCGGGGGTAAGAGCGCGCGGGGAGAAAGTGTGACGTACACGTTACTTGGAGAGAGAAAAAAACGAGCAAAAGAGTGAATCCAGGGCCAAAGCGCTGGCTCTGGGCTTACAACTAAGAACTTCACTCTTATTCATTACCTTTGGGCTTTTATTTTTGCCAGCGGTAGGTATGAAATTGATTTTAAAATTTAATTTTAAACTGTAAAATGTGACACCAAAACATTGGCCAACTGAACCAGAAATGGCCAGGCCATCTGCTGACTGCCCACTGCCGGGCTGTCCGGTGGGCACAGGGGGGTCAGCACGGTGGGGGGTGTCCTGGTGGGAGGCAGGATGGGATCCCCCCTACCCAGTAGGCGCCCGCCCTAGCCCAGCATGTGCTGGCAGCGCAGCCGCTCCTCCTCCCGCTTCTCCTCCAGGCGGCTCTCCAGCAGCCTCAGCTCCCTGCGCACCGCCTTCCGCATGGCGGGCTCCAGCTCCAGCACCTTCTCTAGGTCTGCCTTGGCCTCTGCCTCATTCCACACCTCAGCGTGAGCCCGGGCCCGCACATAGTAGGCCTTCACGATGCCTGCAGGGGCGATAGAACCGGACCTGCCACCCGGGCCCAGGGGCAGCCCCACACACTGGTCCTAAGCAGCTTACAAACCCCTTAACCTTGACCAGGATCCTTAACGTCTCTGTACCCGAGCCCATGTCCTTGACTGTAAAATGGGGGTGATATGACTCCCCACCTTTGTGCAGACCTTTCCAAGGCCTCATAACTAATTATATACTCATGAATTTCTATCATTTTTCTTATAGAGCAGTGGTTCTCAACCTTCCTCATGCTGCGACCTTTTAATATAGTTCCTCATGTTGTGGTGACCCCCAACCATAAAATTATTTCCGTGGCTACTTCATAACTGTAATGTTGCTACTGTTATGAATCGTCATGTAAATATCTGATATGCAGGATGTATTTTCATTGTTACAAACTGTACATAAGTAAAGCATAGTGATTAATCACAAAAACAATATGTAATTATATATGTTTTCCGATGGTCTTAGGCGACCCCTGTGAAAGGGTCGTTCGACCCCCAAAGGGGCCGCAACCCACAGGTTGAGAACCACTGTTAAAGAGGCTCCCCAGATTATGCACGCTTCCGGCCTGACCCCTGCACCTGTCCCGACAGCTGTGACGCCGGTGAGTGGTGTGCCGAGTGCAGAGGACTGAGTGCCGGGCGCGCAGTGTCTGACGCCCCTACGAGTTCAGACACCAGTGTCACATGCGCACTGTGGCGCTGACTTGCCTGTGAGCCCAGCACTGTGTTCACCGCCCAGGGTGCTCTCCATCGAGGGCCCTTTCCTTAAAACCCTGTCTCCGCTCCACACCATCACAGGCCTGGGAGCCGCTTGTGCGTCCGTCCTGGTGCACATTCCAGCGAGACGCCTGTGCCATGAGCTCTGCTCATCCATCCCCTGCGACAGGCGTGCAGGCAGGAGCGGCTGGGTGGCCGCAAGTGTAGGTGCCTGGATGGCGACTAAAGAGGGCAGGAGGTCTCAGCCCTGGCCGGCCCGCCCGCCCACCTGGGTGGTGCTGCAGGATGTCGCTGGTGTGCTCCAGCACCTCGTAGTACTCCGCCCTCTTCAGCAGGCACTGGCAGTAGTTGAGGGTGAGGGTGTTGATCATCTTCTCCAGCTTCAGCCACTGCGCCTCCCAGGGCTTCTCCTGCCCGTGGGGAAGGGGCTGCCATGAGCGGAGGCTGCAGCGTGACACCCCTCCCATGGACCTGGCCCGGACAGGGCTGCTCCCCCCCACCCCACCCCGATGGCAGGGCGGGCAGCCCCCACCTTGGTCTGCAGGTTTCTCAGGCAGACGATGGCTTCCTGGTACTTGGTGGAGGCCTCCTCGTAGCGGCCCAGCTTGAAGAGCCGGTTTCCTTCCCCATGAAGGATGGGCACCGCCTGCATCCTCTCCGCGTTGCTCAGGTTCCAGGTCTCCCTCTGGTACTCGCTCGGGGCCTCCACCTGGCCCGGGAGGTGCAGGTG